GCTGCATTCCCAGGAACGCTGCAGGGCGAGCCGCAGTCAGCTTCACTCAATATACCCTGGCAGTCAGCGACCGTGGCCCAGCTGTTGTGCCTTCTAAGAGCGGGCTGTGTGTGATGATCTGCTGCCGATAATCCGGCGGCGCCTCCTTGGGAGGGGCAATGGTGCTGAGGTCATGGTGCCAATGTCACGTTCGGCGCGGCCATTCCTGCCGTTCGGAAACCAAACAAGCCGCGGTGCCGGCCGCCGGCCCGGCCGCGCTCACGTGCTCGGCACACGTGAGCCACGCGTCTCGGTGCCATATTAATGTACGCTAATAGAACGTGTTTATGTCTGACGAGGGGCGACAGCGCCCGTATCGCGGTGACACCGAGCAGAGGGCAGTCGGAGGGCAGCCGGCGGCGCCCCCGGGCGCCCCCGGGTCACCGGACATGACCCGTGCAAACAGCAGGGGCCTCTCACGGGGGCGCGGCCCGCGGCTGCCGCTGCCGCTCCGAGATAGGAGACAGCCGCAGATCGGAATGTTGTTTGCCCAAGTGGCTGTGATCGCCCATCTTCTACAATATGCATTGTACTGGTCTATAGAAGCTCAGCACCCGTCGACCTGTATACTGTTCTTGACAGCAACAGCTAAATATGACAGATTTAACCGATTATGCATGCATTTTTTTGTACCTAAGGGCTAAGCGTGCGCGAAATAGCCACAGTGTTTATTCTATCTCGTGAAACCGTGAATGAGAACAGCATGTTTTGTTTCTATTTTAGCTGCACTCTCGATTCTCGGTCGCACAGTTTACGTTTGCTCCGAATTCACTGTTGCGTGAGTTCCGATTTCCTCTCTGCCACAGGGTGGCTATCGGGGCCACTGGCCGTCTGTGCAGGGCCCGATGTGGCACATTGTACCCGGATGGCAGCGTTTTCACGTTCCGGCGCGCGCCGCGGCGACACGCGCCGCTGGCCACCGGCTGTCGCCTCTCCAGCTGACCTTGTTGTGCCCGGAGGCGCTGCGCCGGGGTCACTGGCCGCCGCCGTCGCCGCCGCTGTTACACCGCGGATCGGGGACGCGTTCACGCTTTCGTGCGCGTGCTGACGTCAGGTTTTCAGTTTCAAGAGCGCGGCGGCCGGGGCAGCGGCCTCTGCGCGGTCACGGTCGGCGGTCACGGTTTCTACCTGGCGGTCGGGCCGCGGATAGCAGCCGGCGCCGTGATCAGACTGGCCTCGATTCGGCGGCACCCATCTGCTGGAGCTCACGGCTGGGACCGATGTCCGCTCAGGGGTAACGTGCTGGGTGCTGTATAACGCGACTATGATCACTCACTAGGCCGGTCGCATGGTCGCAGTGTGTTCATGCCACGCACATTTGGTGGTGCAGCCCCGAAACGTGTCCATGCTGAACTCGAAACGTACCCTTCGCCACACGGAAGACTCGCGTGAAGAGCTTCCCTTCCATATAAAGTTGACACAAAACCGGACTACTCCGGTTCAGGGGCTGGTTGTACATTCTTGGCACGTCCCTGCTTGTAGAGGGTGTTTGTCGCTGGCTGCTAGGAATGGATGTGGCCCGTGCCACCCTATAGTCAGATATTTTCTATGAATAAACCACCGCGCCGCCTAGCGCCTCCGTGATGCCGGTCCAAACAAACACAAAAGTCATGGCCTATTCGCGTGGTCTCTTTATAACACGTGAAACGAGATGAGACAAAAAGGTCAGCTTTTTCTTCACAAAACCATCAGTTTGCTCCACCAACACCAGACCTTATTCTCTTACACTTGAATCGCTAAAGTGAGTCACACATGACTTATTTTAACATCTAAATGAAGAAGTGCAAAGTAAGATCTATGCATAGGGAGCACTCTCCTGGCTCAGTGTTTTCACGACCCTCACAAACATTAAAAGCGCTGTGCAACAAGCTTGCGATGACTGATGCTTCCCTACTTACTATGACTATAATCATAAGGCTAAAGCTTCTGCGCTACGTGTCGCTTTTAATGCATACCTACCATGGAGCTGTAAACAATCTTTGATTGAAATGTAAAATGTAAGTTAAAGTTCGTTATTGCAACAAAACATGATGAAAATGATGGAATATGTGTCAGTGAAATGGGTGTTTAGTTCCATGGAGTAGTGCATTTGGAAACATCAAATGGTTAAAGGTAAGCGATACATGTACTGCCTTTATTATAAGTCACCATGTAAGATTCGCCAAGAAGAAAATGAAAACGATAAAAAGACTTTTTGCTTGGGCACGACTAAATCGTTTTCATGCATTTTTCAACTGAATCATTAAATAAATATATTACTCTGCTCAACATTGTAGTATGTACGAGTACCGATATATTTTACGCCCCCAAGTGTTGAAACGCCAACCGTGTACTCAGGGATATTGGACGACCCATTTTGCAATCGGGCAGGTTATGCAACCGCTCTTGAGCAGTACAGGTTCTGCAAAACCCGAATTCAAAAAGATGTCTCGTTGGGTGACTAGGAATAGCGCAGTTACATAACAAGTAATATAAGTGTAATGTCAGATAACCTTAGAGTTCGTACAGTTTTTCGAGAAGAAAGCGCAAGACCATGTATCGCCCTACTTTTATGCTCAAAGGATTATTTCACAATCCACGATGCTAACCATGGATTCACAAGTCTCACAGTGCATTGGGTACATCGCACGGTGCAAGTAAAACGCGCTAATAATCTCCATGTTCGTTCTTATGTAATCGCCGGCAACGAAATAAAAGTCAATTTGCTGGCGATTTGGCACCGCGTTTAAGTTCCTTTTCACGATGCGCCGTTTCCCGACCCCAATAGAGTCGTGCATAATAAAGGTCAGGGTGATTTGTTCCGCTGGTCCGTGTAAATTAAGCCCTTATATAACGCGAAGATTCGGGAAACTCCAGACTCGAACAAAAACCTGCTCAGCAACTCCATTAACGGGCTCCGGTCCTGCTTCAGAAGGAAGTACTATATACTTCTGTCATTATGGTGGATGCTGATGATAGCTTCAAGTTTTCATATTTTCACTCATTTTTGTCGTTTTCTTATATAAGCGTCGGATTTTATCTCAGTTGTTGCTAATGCACTGACCATTTATTGATCAACCTTCAAAATGTGTATGCGTTATTTATTGGGCAACAAAAGAAAAAAAAAACGAGTAAGTGCCTAAGCACCACGAATTATAAAACGGTTTAACAAAACATGTTATGAGGTTCCAACCGTGCATGGACTGCCTTTTGGCTGGTTACCCTAATTGGTATGTCACCTGATACTAACCTCACTGTTATACAAACGAATCTCAACGAAAAATATCAACCTTTTTCGGACACACAGGAATCCTACATAAACTCTGTCCAAAAGGAAGGATACTTCCCCCCAGGGGTGCAGAGCCAGCGCTGGAGCTGGAGACGGAGCCGGCATATTTTGCCTAAAGCCGGAGCCGGAGCCGGAGCCGATTTTTTCTCCGGAGCCGGAGCCGGAGCCGGAGCCGTCTGAAATTTCCACGGCTCTGCATCTCTGCTTCCCCCTGTCCGAATTTTGTCAGTGATCTTCAGCCAAAGCGTCGAAGGAGTGCGCTATCCAAGTCCTTAGAAGCTGCAGTTTTTTGCAGCCTTTGTTTTGTTTGCGTAGGCTCTGAATAAACCAGTTTGGTACGGTACCTAAGATATTCATTTGTTCTCTGAGCATGTGAGAGCGAGCGGGACGACATGTAATGACCTTTCTATAAGAGCAACTTTATTTGTATAAGCAATCCTGGCATACATGTTCGTAGAGGGATGTGAAGGGATGACCTTTTCAGTGCCGTAATTGCGCTGCCATAACGTTACAGCAATTCCGTGCAGTTGTCGAGTAATTAGAGGGATTATAAATACAGTTATAGTGTCGATGTGTTGCAGCTCTACGCATTTTCCTCGCCACACCGTTACCAGCTAGCCAAACTTGGTGACCATGTACCCAAAAATGAGACCGTCAAGTGCCAAGGCCGTGTATACCTACCGAACGCACGACTTCGATGGCCATTGCATATATGCGCAATAACTCGTATAAGGAATAAGTCGATTGATCGTCATCAACTCAAAGTTATTCTCTCACGCCGCATTTCACGTCGATAAGCCAGTGTAGATACTTTGTATTAGTGTAAATGATGCATATAGTTTTCATATACGAGATGGTGTGCATTTGCAAGCATGTGCCTTGCAAATACCACGGCTAAACCAATACCATGATTATTGGTTACTTGGAACATTCGCATTGGCTTACAATTGTATCTTATCGTAACTAATTATTTGAAGAAAAAAAAACGCAAGTCACGGTTCTTGAGGTGAATATATAAGTTGTCAGGATTTGGTATAATCATACATAGATTTATTTACATTTTATATAAAATACATACATCGTCCATACTCGTACATAGTTCACCTACATTTAATTATGTCGGTACAATAATGCACAAAGGTTGGCAAGGACTGTTACCAGAGGTAACGAGCAAGCAAAAATCCATCTGTCTCCAAACGTAGCTCTTCGTTCCGTCATCTCACTACCCTTATAAAAACACTCCTTTGCATGGTGTACGTATACAGCACCAGTGCTCCTTTACCGTTGTTGTCAAAAGCTGAATGCGATGCCATCACCCACCTGAACTGGCCGGCCATTCCTCTAGGTGGCCGAACATATTTCGTAACCTGAATAACTGTGTCACGGCAGCCGCATACAAGTGTCCTCCAATGCTCGGTCACCTATCGATCTGCCGGTGGCCGGCCCATTGAACGCGGGTGACCGGCGATCGGCAATCCGTCCCTGTAATCGCCGACGGGCCCTGACACCGGAGCGATATACCATTCGACCGGTGACTTCCTCTGTCCTCTCCCATCCATCCTCTCAACCATGATCACGTTGACCTCGCGGTGCCTCCCGGTGACGTAACTCGGTACGGTGACGTCACCCGATGTGACGTCACCTCGTCGGCTGCCGGCCGGGAAACGTGAGCGGCTCGGGCGGGCGGCAGTCGTGTTCTGCCGGTCGGTGAGAGGGTCACGCGCCGCACCCCGCGCACGAGAACACAGAGCGAGCCGTGCCGAGCGCCCCGCGCGCCGCAGACAGAGATACAGAGAGAGAGGCTGACTGAGTGGAGACGAGCCGTGGAGAGAGCAGAGGGAGACGAGGACACAGGTGAGGACCGAGCAGCGAGGGAGGACGGGCGGGGTGAGCCGGTCCGTCGCCGGTTCTGTCGGGATCGATGGAGAGGCGCCGGCGGCACATGTGACCACCCAACTCGTGCGGGAGCTGGCGGACCGGGATGCCGGGGATCCGGGATCCACTGGAGGCCGGCTGGTGGGGTCATTTTCGTACTGACTCCCCTGAACGCTACGGTCATTGATCGGACAACATAAGATTTCAATTGAGATATGAGATTGACTATGAGATTTTGAGTAACACAAAAGTAACACAGGAGATAAGTCGCATTTTCCTCAAATGTTTGTGCTCAGAGTATTTACCTTTCTGATGGCCTCCAGGCGTCAACAAGCAATTATGTGAAACAAAACTGGCTTATCTGACCATAGATTTATTAAACTGTTTCGTTAAATGGGTCGCTTCACACATCTACACAAAGGAATTTATATTCGCTATATTTTACGAACTTTTCGTTACTTGTCGCCACCTAAACAATACTCGCCATAAGGCAGCGCTCCTGAATGTGAGTTTGGTACACGGCTGTTATCAGATAAGTTTTGCCATCGACATTGGCCGAAAAGGCCTAGTCACGCTTTGGCCGCACGCCATGGGTATTTACTTCACCCTCTTTCGTACACGTCAAACACGTCAATGGGCGGAAACTGCTACTATCCGTTTTTAGTTCTAGTTGCGACAAAAGGTGTCTACTTTTGCTATTGAATTCCAGTTGCCAAACGCCATTGTAGTATTCATGCAAGCTCGTAGGCCGTAGCAACTACAAGTGTTGACTTGCTCTAATTAAAGCTTATTACAACAATATAAACGTTGATCAAAGATAAGAGACGTAGGAACCAAGGACGTAGTAGCTGGAGGCAATGCCACTTTATTGTGAAATTAATGCAGGTTATGCACGTCAATATTCTGGTGATATCCCGCTCGCGCAGAACGTGCTCGTCTGAATGATTTGGTGATGGGGAAGCGAGACGCTCTCGTCAATGTCATGATGAGTGATTTGACTTCCACAAGAACGACCAGGGCCGTTTCCAGGTCAACTGCAGCTCAATGTCCCAGAGTTCTTTGTTGGGACGATATTGGGGAAGCCGCCATATCGTTTGGAGCTTCTTATGATCGCTGCCGACGACTGAAGGGTCCTCCGTCGTATTTCCGTCGCTCCCGACTGCTGTTGCCGGGCAGCCGGGCCCCGTCTGGGGTTCACGACCAGTCGTTCGGGGAGTCTCCGGGCCGCCGCCGAATCGAGCGGGTCATTGGGAGAGCTGCATGGAATCAGCTATCGACGGAACTCCGATGAGTTATCGGATTAGTCATCGGTAGCCATCGGAGGAGACTTTCCAGAAAGTTGGGCGATCGCCGTAACGAGCCACTGGCCTCGCTCCATGACCCACGGCCGGTTGCTGGGCGGTTACCGAGCCGGTTACGTACCGAGCTGGTCGGCCGGTCGGCTGGTCGGTCAGGACCGACATGTCGACTGTGGTCACTGCTGACGAAAAGGACGTCGCTGGGTGCAGCGGGACGCGGCGGCGACCGCAGCCGTTCGGGAGGGGCCTGATGCAACGGTCGGATCAAGTGCGATTGCCCGCCGGTCGCTTATGCAAGTTTCTGACGTCATCCGGCGCTCAGGCGGGCTCTGTCTAGGACCCGGTCAAACGGGCGGTGAAGGGGAGAGCTGAGTTCGCGACGGGTGAACGGCGGGCAGACCCATCAGATGTTCTGACACCTACCATTCCGACACAGTATTCCAGCGACCGCAGAGCGCCACTGAAAGAGTCCCCTCCCCTCTCGACCTCTTCTCACGAGTCCCCTGTCCCCGCTGCTGAGCTGTATTGTATTGTATTGTATTGTATTACCTTCATGGACAATCCACGCGGGGCGTGGCGATTACAGTCCAGTCCAGTCCAGCTGTCCTCCCCACCTCTCCTCCTGCCTCTCACGTCCTTGTGACCCCTCCACTCACCGCCCTGCCACCCCTCTCACTTCCTCAGTGACCTCTCCTTGTCCGCCACTCCCCCCCCTCCCCGCCGGCCGCTGCCTTCAGGCCAGTTCGACTGTCTATTTTCAAACGGTGAACGCTGACGCAACGTGCAAACCGGGGACGCTGAATCACTCGAGTAACGCTGCGCCGTGACCCCACATGGAGAAGGGAGAGTGATGGCGCAGGGACTCGGGCTGAGGATGCTCCGACGAGGATGGGGGTGGCTGCAAACCACCTCCACGACTGGAATGGTCCGCAGTAGTCCCCGTAGTGGCTTGTCCCTTATGTAAACAGCGGTTTCTCGGCTGTTTGACATCTTTGTTTCTTCTCTCGTTTCGGCTGTTGAGCCAGTTTTGTTAACACACATGTCCTTCAGTTATTCTTAGCTGAGTGTTTCTACCCGAACTACTGTTTAAAACGGCTTCGCAGTTCTCTACTGGAATATATCACTTGATGAAGTTATCCTTGATTACACAAAGCGACATGCAGGCTTGTTCGCCTTATGCTTTGTTAACACTTTTTATTCAAAGAACTGCCTAACTGTCGGCGGCGGCTAATCGATGTTGCAATCGTTCAGGTTCCATTGCACATTCTGTCTGTCCACTTATTCGGGCTTGTGACGTTAGCGATCGGCACGCGTTACCTAAATCCGGCGCACGGCTATTTTTGGCGCACTGCGGGAGAAAGCGGCCCCTGCAACTGCCTGCAGCGCGGCGGCCGGTGCAAACCCGTCCGATTCTGCACGTTTGGGACGAGTGGCCGCCCGTCCGCGGCCGCTGGCTCATTGCGTAACGCGTCCGGTCAACGTCCCTGGCGCGCCGCGGAGCGCGACGAACGCGGCGCGGTGCGCGGCGTTTCGCCGGCCCACTTGTCCGCGGCGGCGGCGCGCTCGTCCCACTGGCCGCCCTGCGCGCCGGTCGCGTCCAAACACCCCGCCGGGAAAGTGCCCCAGACTCGGCGGATGAGGCCAGACAGCTGGTCGAGCTTTCCACCGAGCTGGGCTACGTTGCGGCGAGGGGGTTCGCAGGAAAGTGGTGGTCCACTTTAGCCGATGCTATTATACCACTGAAATACAACACAGCTGAGTGGCCTCAACCGCTTCTCAAACAAAACCCATGACAGAGTGTGGCGGGCTCGATAAGGCCCCGGTCAAGCGCTGTCCGGCTGTCCCGTCCGCTCGGCCCCACTCGAGGTGGAGGGTGTTGATCAACAGAGAGTTCCGGTCAGTCCGAGACACCCCCGGCGGCCTCCCATGGCCCGGGGGGGGGGGGGCGTGGCCCGGCGCCCGCGCCAGACCCCAACGGCTGCCAACGCCGCTGGCAGAGGGCGCTGGTTGCATCACAGCATGGAAGGCACGCCGCTGGCTGAATCAGCCAATGACTAACCCAGCACCCTCCCCCCCCCTCGGCCGGCCGCCCACCGGCCTCATTTCGGGAAGTGCTGCCGGCCGGCCGGGTCTCCGCCGAACGGCCCCGTGACCCGCCGGGTGTTTGTCGGAGCTGCGCCGCTGACCTCTGTGACCGCAGGGCGTTCCGCTCGGTAGCCGGGCGCGGTCACGTGCCAGATTCACTGGACGAACACGGGTCACGTGCCAAGGTCACGTGACGTGCCATTCTCACGTGTCGCAGCCGACTGTCGTTTTCTGCGCCCGGCCGAGCGCTATCGCTTTTTGTCCTGGGTGCACGTGACCTGAGCAGACGAGTACGCTGCTCTGGGCTGACAAACAGTGACCGGGCACTGATGGGCTGCAGGGGGATAGAGAGAGGGAGGACGGGCTCCTCCCCTCCGGCGCCACTCTGCAACCGGAAGGTGTTGGCGCGCGATGGAATCACATTGCCGGCATTGCACCACAGGGGTGTCGCTCTCAGCTCAGACGGAGCCGTTTCAAGGAGTTGACTGCGTCGCAGCGCCCCCGCCCGGGCTGGGCGCCGCGCAGTGCGGCTGCTCAATATAGCCCGTCCGGTGCCAGACTGCAGTTACGCAATGGCGGAGGCAATCAATAGCCTCGGCAGCGGCGTCACGTGAGCCGGCGGCACGCGACGGCCCACCGACGGGCCGACTGCTCGGGTTCACGAGGCGCGCAGCCGACGGCCGCGCCGGGCACGTGCAACTGCGCCGGCAACTGAGGAAATTGCAACATGGTGTTGCAACGGGCGGCGCGGGCGGCCGGCTGTGGAGGCGGCGGAGGAGGCAGGGGCGCGTCCAGTGTTTGTTTGGCAATGCCCCGCTGATTGGCTCGGCGGGCGGATTACCAGCCTGAGCCCCGGTGGGGCCCACGGGCAGACGGCTCAGCTGAACGGCTGTATTCTGTGCCGCGGCCTTCGCCAGTCGGTGTTACTGCAACAGCCTAAGCTGGTTGCGACAGGGAAGAGCCGGATAACATCTTTGCTTGAGAATAGTCCTCTTAGAAATGTTGGTTTATAAGCCGAGGGCAATCCGTTCCAGGAATGCCGGCTATACCATCTGGTTAACCTCGCTTTGAGAAGCGGTGTACCCCGTACATGATGTGACCTCAAATACGGATAGACGGCCTTGTTCTCATTTACAAACCTTCATGTCATTCATCAAACAAACTTCTTCCGCCAATAGCGCACCCGTTTGGCCTGATCTCCGTTCAATGGTAGTTTCTCAGCACTTCCAATGATTGGAGAACCAGCTCACTGTCTATCAGACTTCCCCGTCCACAGCTGTCCTCAGTCTCAGCTCCCATACCGATCCCCGCTCAATTTCAGCTCGACCATAGCCCTGCAACAACTCCCGACCCAAATCGCGGCTCACGCCGTCTACAAAAATCAATATTGCACCTGCAGACACCCAGTTTGAACCGGGCGCCGGGCTATATGCGGGCCGTCGGCCAAACTTCCGCGCCGCGGTGCAGCCCTTGCAGCCCTTGCAGCGCTGCAGAGGCCGAGCTGCAGCCGCTGAGCGGGCAGCTCAAGGCCGCGGAACGGTTACGTCAGGCCCGCGGCCCCGCGAGCAGCCAGCTATTTCTGATGCAACCGGCTCGTGGGGCCGCCCGGCGAACTTCGCACCGGGCCGGGGCACGGTGGGGGCAGACTGCGGGGCAGCCGTTCAGGGGACGGGACAGAGAGGCAGCGCTCAGGGGAAAGAAGTGTCCACTTTCCAGCTTAGTGGGGTATATGACGTGACTTGGCGTTAGCTGTTTTACCGCAGAATTGAGCCACTGGTTAACCTTGCTGGCCATGCAGCCAGAGTTGTGCTTGACTCATGAGTCGAGTCAGAAATTTGACTCAACTCTGACTCAAATGAGTCAGATTTGAGTCGAGTCGGATAAAATGTTAAGCTGTTGAGTTGAGTCAGAGTTGAGTCGGACAAAAATATTAAGGTGTTGAGTTGAGTCAGAGTTGAGTCAGTAAAATAACTTTTGACATTGAGTTGAGTCAAAAACATTTAGGAACATGAGTCAGCTGACTAAACTTTCTAGAAACAATATATAGCATAAGTTTTTCATTCTCCCCCGCTTAACAACTTAGGCCTGGCCCTGCTGTCGGATTTTTTCACCCCCCCCCCCACTCAACAACTTTTTTATCTGAGTCAATTTTGAGTCAACATACTTGACTCAACAAAAAATTTGAGTCAAGTTTGAGTCAACTCATATTTTCATTGAGCCGCTTGAGTCATGAGTCGAGTCAAGGGAAAAATCAGCTCCTTGTTTGAGTCAGAGTTGAGTCAGGGCATTCTGAAGTTGAATGATGAGTCGAGTCGGCAAATGTTTTGAGTCGAGCACAACCCTGCATGCAGCTAATGTCGACGTATGGGATATGTGCCGCCTTCCCTGGCGGTGCGGCCTCCTAGGTCGCGGCATCTGGTTACAAACCTCCCCCCGAGCCACACCGCTCTTCCCTGCAAGTCACGTGGCAAATGGCCTTGTGTTTAGCATAGCCGGTCCGATGATAGCCCTGCAAGGCCTCACACTAATAATCCTGGCTAATAACAGCCCGTGTGCATCCAACGATCTCCAGCTGGCATGACCTTCCTCACAGCGAATCCCCGTGCCGTGCCGTGTGCCGTGCCGTGCCGTGCCGTGCCGTGCCGTGTTGGCCCGTACTCTGAGGACGAGGTGTCCTCATTGTGCCCCAGGGCGGGGGCCGGACCGGCCGCTGGAGCTGAGGCGTGGTGCGCCGCACTGAGGCGTAACTGACGCGCAACACATCGCGCCGGCGCGGCCACATTCCGGTGGTTTCTGGTCACGGCCAGACGCGAGCGACTCTGTGCGGGCATAATGGCGCTGAATCGGAGCTGAATCAGCGCCCGAACCGTCTGAGTCAATACCTGAACCACCTGAGTCAAGGCCTGAATCATTACAGAGTGGCGTCAGCCTACCGAAGGCGCGAGGCTCACAATCTTGGGAAGTTTCGCCAGTAACGGTGTCGAGATAGTTATCAGTCATTTCCGAGGTGGGGGATATTGTTTGCGCACGATATATAATTTCCTGGGCCGGTAAAGCACGCCCACACGTCTAATCTCTCAGTCATTCGAGATAAGCCGTCTAGATGTATTGCACACAGGCGCAGACTTGTGATGATGTAATCAGTATCTAAGCACATGCCTAGTCATAAGGAAAGAATATCAGACTGCAACAGTGAGTTTGTAACGTTAGCGAGTTTGGAGTGAGTGATAACTCGCTGTGATTATCGAACGGTGAGACCGCCTTCCCTGTAATAGTGCAATTATATCTTGCAAGTGATATCAATTCAGACCAAGACAGTAGCACCAAATTGTCTATTCTTTTCAGCACCTTGTTTATCAAACCATAAACGTTATTTCCATTGTCCCGTTCCGATATAGCTGTGATCCGTGATAGTGCAGAGTTGCCCTCGGCTGTCGCATACGGGCTGAGTTACGTGCACTTCCATCAGACGGAGTGAAAACACCTAACCGGGTTAGTGGCACCGCCGCTAATTGTCACGCCGCGCCGACAGTGCCGGCTGACACTCTGTGGGTCGGCGACACCGGCCAGTCGCTATGTGGCACAGCCAGCCCAGCGCAGCCGGCGGAACAGCTTAGAATGGCGGTGGCCGTGAAGTGGCTCAGACTCGGCACGGACTGCCGCGAGCTGACACTGCGGGATCAGATGGTGCACAACCCGGTCACTGCAGCGTGACCCCGAGCCTGCAATGGATTACCCTGAACACATTATTCCAGCAGCCAAATCTGTCCGAAACCTAAACTGGTGCACCACTGGAGAACTTACCAGTTCTACCAGCCGTAATAGAGCCGTACCAGCCGTAAATAGAGCCGCCGTGGTCACATGCCCTTGTGTGACCCCCCATAGGACAGAGAGGGGCCCTGTTCAATTGCATCAGCCCCCAGCCCCGGGCGTCGTCCCGTCGTTCGTTCGGTGACGGGCTGCACGTCCGTCCCTGCAGAGGCAGTGACGTCTTTCGGCGCCCCGCAGCCAGCATTGACGTCATCACTGACCGTTTTTCGTTTGCACTAGATCATCATTCTACCGCGAGGTCTAAGAGACGTTGCCCCAGAGCCAGACGCGCAGAAAGCGCTGGTTCTGTCATTCATCGCGCTCTCTCCGGTTTGAACTGAATCGAGTTTGCATCACGGCAATATTCTTGACCGCCAGTGTGCCATTTTTATCGTTCGTGTGACTGCGCAGTGGCTGTTGGGTGGCTCTGATGTGATGCTGACGGTGTTCTCTCTCCTTCGGCAGGTGATCCACGCATCATGGTGGCTGAGACTCTGCTCAGCTCGGTGCAGCTGGCCGGGCTGAAGTCGCGGTTCGGCGCCGTCTCGCCGGGCTACTTCAACTACCCGCCGCCTGGCGGCGCTGTGAACGGCGGCCGACCGAGCCAAGGGGCGCCCGTGTCGGCCGCTTCGGACGCGTACCCGGTGTCGCCGCTGGAGCTGCCCGCCTCGCTGCAGTGCGACATGTTCAGCCAGCGCAAACAGCGCGAGTTCATCCCCGACAACAAGAAGGACGAGAGCTACTGGGACCGGCGGCGGCGCAACAACGAGGCAGCCAAGCGGAGCCGCGAGAAGCGCCGGCTCACCGACATGGTGCTGGAGTCGCGCGTGTTCGAGCTCACCAAGGAGAACCACCTGATGCGCGCCCAGCTGGCCGCCATCCGCGACAAGTTCGGCATCGTCGGGGAGAACCTCATCAACCACGAGCAGGTGCTGTCGCAGCTGCCGGCCATGGATCAGGTGCTCAGCTTCACCAAGCGACACAAGCCGCTCAGCGGACAGCACATGATGCCGCTGCCGGCCGGCGGCGGCGGCCCCGCCCCCGGGCCCGGGCCGTTCATGGGCGGCGCCGCGCCGCCGCCGCCGCCACCGCCGCCGTCGTCGGCGCCAGCGTCGCCGCCGGCGCCGGCGCCGTCGCTGCTGTTCCGTCAGCAGTCGATGCGCGAGCTGCGAGAGCCGGAGCCGGTGGTGTGCGACTACTCCCGGCCGCGCTCGGCCGAGCCGGAGCACCAGCAGACGCCGCCGCCGCCGCCGGCGCCGCTGGAGGCGACCAACCTGAGCCGCTCGGCGATCGAGCCGCGCCCGATGCACTCCACGGAGGGCGGCGTGCTGCCGCTCAAACTGCGCCACAAGACGCTGCTCTGCGACCGGGAGGCGGCCGCCGCCGGCCTGCTGGGACTCACCGCCGCGCTCAAGGAGGAGCCGCACGACTCTGCCGGCTCAGAGGCGGCCTCGTCGGGCGACGAGCGCGACTCGGGCCTCTCGGACCGCTCGGCCTCCTGCGACGGCGCCGACGAGCCCGCCCGCAAGCGGCTGCGCGCCGGCAGCGACGCGTCCTCCTCTCCGCCGCCGCAGGCCAGCGGCCAGATCCGCTGCGAGCTGGAGCGGCTGGCCAAGGAGGTAGCCACGCTCAAGTGTCTGCTGAACCACCGGGACGCCGGCTCGCCGCCCATGCAGCCGGAGGCCTGAGGCGCGCGCTCGGCTGGCGGTCGGCAGCCGTGCACAGGGGCTCGCGAGCGGGGACGGTCGCTCTCGCAGGGCAGCTGACAGGACGGGGCTGCGTACAAACCAGGCCGGCGCTGTGCTGGAGTTCAACTGCCGCCGTATCCGCTGTTCCCAGCGGGGAACTCTGCCGGGGACTCTCACATTCCTGGCCGTAAACGGAGCCTGCTACCGGCCACGGCCAGACTGCCAGACCCTGGTCAGACTGCCAGACTACGGCCAGACTGCAATCTACCGGCTGTCGTATGACGACCAGTCGCACCAGTAGGGATAAATGGGGGGTCGGCGCGCCGCGCAGACCCAGCGCCCTGCCAGTGCGCTAGCGGCAGGCTAAGAGGGGGCGTCGAGGAGGCGTCCGGTTTAAAGCTGCATCTCATCGCTGTCTAGAGGTATTCAGCCCACCTGCGAGCGAGGCTTTGAAGTGGTGTCACTGAAACTCGTGTTGATACGTGTCGCCGGCCGGGTCTCTGGTTCCGTGTGCTCCAAGTCGCGCCCGTGACCCGTTTGCAGCTCATTTATCTTGACAAGTTCAAATACACTAAGATGATCCGTGTTCGCCCTACAAATTTTTTTTTTTATTATAAATTTAGTCCGAACCTTTTGATGGGAAGGATTCACAAGGACAGAGCCACCGCTAAGCGAAGCTTGTTGCGATGACCCTGCCCTCTACCCTCCGATCGCGCAATTCCGATTCTATGGCAGAATTTGGAGTCCAAAGTTTAACGTGCGCACAAAGCCGCGCACGGCCGGTCCCCTCGCTGACTTCGCCTGGCTACGGCCTGCCACCAACCGCAACCATACCTGTCAGGAGGCCCATAAATGTCGAGCGCCCGTCGCGCTTCGAACCCGGACTGTCATAACCGGGAACGCGTGCTCTCACCACGCGGAGTCCAACGCTCTAACCAACTGAGCTACGGGACCGACAAATACCTACAAATGCCCTATGACGTACGGTGTTTTGCTCCACAGATACCCTATTATGTGCGGTGTTTTGCTCTACAAATGCCCTATTATGTGCGGTGTTACGTTTGATGGCATGCGGCCTTGCCGACGCTACTTGTGCTGTATTATTCCTTGTTTTGCGCATTCTACGGTTGTTGGCGTTAGGTGGTGCCATGCCCGGTGACTTTGTTTTGTACTGTGTGTTGTAGATATTTATTGATTACACAACAAAGATAAAAAACGGCGTGTCTGTTGGTAGCCTGCTTCCCGTGATAAATTGACAAAGGAACCGAGAATTGTGATCCAAATGAGACGCATGCAATATTCGCAAAGAACGAGGTCACACGCCATTGTACTTACAGCAGAATAACGAAGAAAACGACCAATGCACGGTAACAACAGATGTATTGCACTTCAGTGCATCGCGTCTCATCGCGGACACCTACTAGCCTAGCGCTACTCGCTGCCATTCTATAGTGAACTGACACCGACCAGATACCATGAAACCGCTGACTGACATCCGACACACTACATCGACACATATTGACATACTCGAAGCACCGGCGCTGCAATCTCAGAGCATATTTGTCACGACTGAGGCGAACTAAACAAACTGGACGACACGCTCAGCTTTCCCTGCCACAGGTGAACATAAAACATGTGTTCTGTAATAAAATCGGTCTAGTTTGTCGCGATGTGACGGGCTTAGTCCTGCACTCGCCATCGACATCTGCATTTCTTACGTCCACGAGATATTCATAGAGGGAGGGATTCTACATTGCAAACGTAACAAAGATATCACTCAACTGTTTGGAGCAGCGGCACGGCGAGACCAGTCATGGCACTAAGCGATCCATTTATCCGTCTACCACATACACGACATGGCTTTGAAGGCCCAGAAAGGAGGGCAACAGCACAATGAACAGCCCCTCGACTAGGTAACAAATCTACGGAAAACTACTGAAGCTGGCTTATGTAACCACATCCATTGCACAGCAATAATGCCCAAATATGCACGTAAACTTGGGTTGATAGGTAGAGGTAGGCTTACACGACAATGAGGTATCTCAAACTTTCTAAAACAAATGGCCAATGGGTGTCTAAGTAGACGGAACGTACATTTATACCTACAATGATTGACAGGGAAAAGTGTCCGAGGCTAAGAAAGCGAAACAAAAATAATGATGAGCTCAACAGAACAACAACGTTTTCTGGTGCATTGCTTAAAAGTCTTGCAGGTGCCGTCGAGGGTCGAGAATCCGCCACAGAAACAGCGGCGATCACGAAAGCCGAGCCAATGTCTACCCGATGAGTCGACCGGTGACATTGAGGAACTTGTGTAGGGCTGGGAACATCAACATGCAGAGCTCCGCATGAGCTCAGGAGCCCGTTAGACCTGCCGTACATTCCTAAAATCCCAGCTACCTGCCTCCTCGCCCTCCGTCCCTCACCGTTCCCCGTTACTAGCATCACCTAGCGGCCGTTGTCGGTACTACAAGTCCAGATAGGTGACCTGGGTGGCGGTGATGGCGCCACAGGTGCTCAGCACGGCCGCCAGCACCACCACCATGGTAGTGGTGCCGGCCGCCGTCACGATGGAGCCCACGCAGAGGCTAAGGACGAACTGCGCCAGGAACACCATGCTGGAGACGATGGCGACGTCGGTGCCGAGGCCGCGCACCTGCTGCGTCTGCACCGCCTCTGAGCCGGACGGGGAGGCGGCAAACTGCGGCGGACCGAGGGCGAGAGGTCGGTCAGCAGACAGGTTAGATCAGTCAGCAGGCAGGCCAGGTCGGTCAGCAGCCAGGTCAAGTCAGGTCAGTTCAGATCTGGTAGGAGATGTAAGGTCAGATTAGTTACAGCGGGGCAGGTCAATCAGTTTCAGTGGAGGGAAGGCGGGGCCAGGTCATGGTCACGACTTTACGACGGGGAAAGGTCAGGTCAGGTCAGATCTGGTGGGAGATGTAAGGTCAGGTCAGTTACGGCGGGGCAGGTCAGGTGAGGTTCCGTGGAGGGAAGGCGGGGTCAGGTCATGGTCACGACGTTACGACGGGGAAAGGTCAGGTCAGGTCAGCTCAGATCTGATGGCAGATGAAAGGTCAGGTCAGTTACAGCGGGGCAGGCCAGGTCAAGTTCCATGGAGGGAAGGCGGGGCCAGGTCATGGTCACGACGTTACGACGGGGAAAGGTCAGGTCAGGTCAGATCTGATGGCAGATGTAAGGTCAGGTCAGTTACAGCGGGGCAGGTCAATCCGGTTCAGTGGAGGGTAGGCGGGGCCAGGTCATGATTAGGCTAGCAAAGATGGGGAGGTCAAGTCAGACCAGGTTCGGTCTCGGTGGGGATAGCCAGGCCAGTTTTCAGCCCCACCTGCACCCCACCAAGCCCGGCCCCGCCCTCTCCTGTCACTGGCCACTAGCTGTGTCTCTGGCACGGCGCGGCGGCGGCAGTGCGAGCTGTTCGATTATCGAAGCCCTATTGCTCGCCGCCGACTGACGACTCACTGCAGGGCAGGGTACAGATAAAAGCAGGAGGGATTACGGCGAACAAAGATAACAATCGGGACCAGAGAAGGAGCAAAGCGAATGAGCAGACTGATCAACAAAAAACGGCAAAAGACACGAAGACGTCAATAAGGCAGTGCCTCAGTCAAAGGCCAGAAGCATCATGTTTATTCACCGGAACGTTACCGCAGATGCTGTGCCGCATTGCTTCAGTGTCATGCGGGCTGCCTACCTACGCAGGCAGTGTGTAAACCCAGGCGGCTATGATGCCGCCTGGGCAGTTAGACTGTGCCGCAGTGCCACGGTGCCGTGCGGCGCAGCATGTCTAACGTTTTCTTACTCATCTGAATGATTCGTTCAAGTGCTTCGGTATCGCCACATCTTTTTTGGAAGTGTTGGAAAATATCCGACGGTTGAATGAAAGTGTATGCATCTTTCTGATAACAAGCAGCCTTCTCGTAAAACTTTGTGCCAATAATCGACCCTCTCCCTTACCTCTCCCTCGTTCCATCACACATACGCCCTTCTCCCTTCCTCTCTGTTCTGCTCGCCCCTCTCACCGATCCGGAGACGTGGTAGTTCCCCTCTCACCGATCCGGAGACGTATTAGTCCCCCTCTCACCGATCCGGAGACGTGGTAGTTCCCCCTCTCACCGATCCGGAGACGTGGTAGTTCCCCTCTCACCGATCCGGATTCCGGAGACGTGGTAGTTCCCCCTCTCACCGATCCGGAGACGTGGTAGATCCCCCTCTCACCGATCCGGAGACGTGGTAGTTCCCCTCTCACCGATCCGGAGACGTGGTAGTTCCCCCTCTCACCGATCCGAAGACGTGGTAGTTCCCCTCTCACCGATGTGGAGACGTGGTAGTTCCCCCTCTCACCGATGTGGAGACGTGGTAGTTCCCCTCTCACCGATGTGGAGACGTGGTAGTTCCCCTCTCACCGATCCGGATTCCGGAGACGTGGTAGTCCCCCTCTCACCGATCCGGAGACGTGGTAGATCCCCCTCTCACCGATCCGGAGACGTGGTCGTTCCCCTCTCACCGATCCGGAGACGTGGTAGTTCCCCTCTCACCGATCCTGATTGCGGAGACGTGGTAGTTCCCCTCTCACCGATCCGGAGACGTGGTAGTTCCCCCTCTCACCGATCCGGAGACGTGGTAGTTCCCCTCTCACCGATCCGGAGACTTGGTAGTCCCCCTCTCAACGATCCGGAGACGTGGTAGTTCCCCCTCTCACCGATCCGGAGACGTGGTAGTTCCCCTCTCACCGATCCGGAGACGTGGTAGTTCCCCTCTCACCGATCCGGAGACGTGGTAGTTCCCCCTCTCACCGATCCGGAGACGTGGTAGTTCCCCCTCTCACCGATCCGGAGACGTGGTACTTCCCCTCTCACCGATCCGGAGACTTGGTAGTCCCCCTCTCACCGATCCGGAGACGTGGTAGTTCCCCTCTCACCGATCCGGAGACTTGGTAGTCCCCCTCTCACCGATCCGGAGACGTGGTAGTTCCCCCTCTCACCGATCCGGAGACGTGGTAGTTCCCCTCTCACCGATCCGGATTCCGGAGACGTGGTAGTTCCCCTCTCACCGATCCGGAGACGTGGTAGTTCCCCTCTCACCGATCCGGAGACTTGGTAGTCCCCCTCTCACCGATCCGGAGACGTGGTAGTTCCCCCTCTCACCGATCCGGAGACGTGGTAGTTCCCCTCTCACCGATCCGGATTCCGGAGACGTGGTAGTTCCCCTCTCACCGATCCGGAGACGTGGTAGTTCCCCCTCTCACCGATCCGGAGACGTGTTAGTTCCCCCTCTCACCGATCCGGAGACGTGGTAGTTCCCCTCTCACCGATCCGGAGACGTGGTAGTTCCCCCTCTCACCGATCCGGAGACGTGGTAGTTCCCCTCTCACCGATCCGGATTCCGGAGACGTGGTAGTTCCCCCTCTCACCGATCCGGAGACGTGGTAGATCCCCCTCTCACCGATCCGGAGACGTGGTAGTTCCCCTCTCACCGATCCGGAGACGTGGTAGTTCCCCCTCTCACCGATCCGAAGACGTGGTAGTTCCCCTCTCACCGATGTGGAGACGTGGTAGTT